AGATTTGAGTACTTGTTTTATTTTATATTAATATTTATTAATATTTTATGGAAGAAAATGAAAATTTTTTTCAATAGCTTCCATTTCATGGACTCCAAACCAATTTTCTCTGACATGTACAGCAATTGTAAGTCGCTTTGGATAAAAGCGTCAGCTAAATGAATAAATCTATGTTCATTTATTTTATTCTTCAACAGCGCAGTAGGCATCACATAAAATATGTTTATAAGCAAATCATGCCTTCTATTTTTTGTCAGAATAAGCCATGATTGACAAAGAAACTTGAAAGCCTTCCCTTCACAGTGTATCTGAGTAGTCCGGTGGTGGAGGTCTTGCTCTTGCTCCGGATCCAGAGATTGATGGACAAAACTCTGCTCATAGCATGTTAACAAAAAGGGGGCCAAACTTAACACATAAGTTTTCTGAACAAGTGTGCAGCACATCACTGAGTCTCTTAGCTGATGGAGCCGCACATTGCACCGACAACGGTAGCAATTGAAAAAAATAGCTGGCAGCTCTCACACGCATTTTCTTAAGGAAATGCCTATTCTAATTTCTAATAGTGTCCCTCAAAGTGCTGACCACAGACTCCACACCTGTTATTGAGAGAAAGTCTGACCACTCAGTGTTCACCTGATCAACATTCAGGGCCACAGTGCTGACTGTGTAGGTGCGGGCATACTGTACTGGCTGAGGCCCAGGAGGTCTTCTGGCTGGCAGCTTTTCTGCACAGTTAGCTTCAGCTTTTAAAGGTTTTCCTCATCTAGGCCTGTGTGTGTTATTTTTGAATAATATATACATAAATGTTTTTACTCATAGGGGAGGAGCTGCTCTCATAAAACATAGGAGGGAAGAACTGCTTGTTCAGGTCAAAGTTCAACTGAATAGCCAAAGTAGTCTTTTTTGGAATTTGAACTTTGTTTTTTGTTGTTTGTTAGCATACAGTTGTACAATATCAGCCAGAAGATTTTAAATATGGCCTCAGAGGCCTGACTGACGTCCTGAGAAGACATTCTCAGTGTTGACAACCTGTTTTTAATAATGTAATTATGTTTTTGGACTTTCTTTTGAGGACCTCGTAAAATGTTCTTACCTCATTGACAGTCAATGATCTGCAGCAATAGATTGTACATTCAGTGCCTTTGAAAGCATGTATGTGTTATGTATGTTGGATAAATGTTGTATGGAAAGACTTGTGTGGATTCTCTTCACTTGCATGACACAATGGGAGTGTTATATGTTATACACACTGGAATGTGTACAGAGAAGAAAGATTCACACAGGATATAGCACACTGGTAAATCCTTCTTTTGGCCAGATGGTGACACGAGGACATTTCTGATGTGAGTTTGTTGTCAGAGCTGCTGAGAAGCTGACAGCAGGTTAGAACAGAAGGGCGTGCAGGTTTAACTCTGGGCTGAGGGTGAATGATGAACATGATAACTAGGCTGCAAATAAAACATAAATATCACAAACCAAATGAAACGAACAACATTAAATTTAAAATATTAAAATATAGCGCTGACAGTAACAACTCAGCACACACAATAAGTTCTAAGGTTAACCTACCAACTGTACCGCACCAAACAATGCGCTTAAAAAAACGTGACTCTTGCTGCCCCAAAATATCACAAATATTGCTTTCAGGGGAGCTGATGTCTTGTTAAGGTGAGCTAAGCTCCCCCTGGCTCCCCCCTAGTTTGCACCATGCCTACAACTCGTGCTCACTCCCCGACCTGTCACGCACGGACCCGTGGTCAAAGCCTGTCGGCGTTTGTAACGCACTGGGGATCCCGATAGCGTCATAGGTCAACGCAGTGGGGGAAGCCCTGTAGCTCAGTTTGTGACAGTAAAGGCAGGTGGACATGAGAAGCTCTTTAACAGAAAAGACTGAGTGAGAACATGGTTGGGGTGAAAGGAGGGCCAGGACCTTTGAATCAGTGTATCCTGTGAAACAAAAGTCAACTTTAGGCTAAATATTTTTATATTTAATTTTATATAAAGCTATTTCTTTTCAGGTCGCCTCTCATATCAACTGTGGCGAATATGATTGTAGAAGTGAGCGCTATATTACAGAGCCTCAAACACAAAATGATCCAGTTTCTAGCTAAAGTACGTCAGCATCAAGGAAGCATTTTGTTTTGGGCTGATCTGAAGCAGCTGCTTACTTGAGCGATATAAGAAAATATCCGAATATGTTTATCAAGGTTTTTTTCTCGAGGCTATACGGCCAGGGTGCGACCTCCTCTCCAGCGCCCCGATCCCCCTCCGTTAAATCTAGTATGGGTTGCTGGCTGGATTAAGTCTGATGCTCCTGATTTTACGCATAATCCATGTACTACTGCAGCTGGAGGATGTCCGCAGCGCCGCGCAACTAAATTCTTCCATCTCACAAAGAATAGAAAGCTCAGGTCGAAAGAGTGAAGAGGCTGAACGAAAATTACCCGAACATAGCTGCAGCCTCCGGTACTGCAGCTGTATAATATTGTCCTGTTTTTCTAACTAAAAACCCACTAATGTTGATGTTCAAGCTCATCTTAATTATTTAATCAGGCACCGCCATCGCATGTATCTGCTGCAGGTTTATCAAGTGTAACACACAAAGCTACTCAAATAGGACTCATTAAATATCAAAAATCAACATTTTCCTTTTTGTGTTTAAAACAGAAAAGCAAAATCCACTGTCTGTTTTTTGTTTTTCTGTTTCAGAAAAAAAAGGTCTTGTTTTTTTGTTTTTTCCGATTGGACTTTTAAACGAAATAATGAAAGAACGAACCAGACACGGACCCGCGACACTCCACAGTCCAAAATGACGAGTTTGCTTCAATTTGTTGATTTTCAGATTTCAAGTTATTGTGCAACTATTATTCCCGTACCTTTATGGCCAAGGTACGTTTTGACAGTTTGTTGTTTTGGTATAATTAACAAAGGCAGAAACCAGAAACGGGTCGTTTTTCCGTTTTTTCAATTTTGGGCCCAAAGCGAAAAAAACAACATTCAGTTTGATTTTTCGTTTTTTTGTTTTTTAATCAAAACCAAAAAACCAAATTCAGCACAGTCTCTCGTTTTCCTTTCTTACTGACAAAACAAATTTATTTCTCTATATTTCCTTTCATTGGTGGGTGGGACTTCATCAACCCCCTGCTTCTGATTGGACAGTGAGCTCCATCAGTTCTGTATGTACTTCAGGCTACTCTTCAAAATTAAGGTTCTCCCAGAGAATTTCCATACCTGCTGTGGTTCTCCCTCTTTGCCTTAAGACGATGCAATGTCTCCACAAAAAACAGTTTATTAGTGAAAACTAATTACATAATGCAATAAATCCCCTTCATGATTCAGAGTTTATGAGAGGTGGCGATTCATCAGTTTGGAGCATGTAGTGGAAGCGGTACTGCCACCAGCATTCCATGTAGAGCATTGCAGTTACAAATAAACAACCAGAAATGTTCTTAATAAGATGATAAGCCTCTCTGTTACAATGCGCCAACAATGAAATTTCACCTTGACGAATTTTTATAGTCGACGTTGTCGATTACTTCGACCAAGTTTAAATTCTTTTTGCATTAATTTAATTTTTATATCAGTGACTTCACGTGACAAGATATCATCTCTTACATATATCTGGTGTGGCAACCACAACCAGTGTTTATTTCAGTTTGAGTGCAAGCTTCCAAAAATTGTGCGTAATATCCTTCAGTAATTTTTAAAATATTTCCCCATTTTCATGTCCTTTTAAGACACAATGACTCAGCCCATGTTTTCCTCCTGCTGCCGGAGTCTGCTGGGATGTAAGGCCTGTGTTGGGGAGTGGAGGAACACATCTTTCCAGTGCCTCAAGCCTGTGTATACAGAGGTAGCTGGACTGTCTGCAGCACTAGACTTTTTCAGGTCCCTGCCATAAAGATGACAGCTGTTGCCTTTTACTTTTTTTTACTTGACAGTGACAAATTTTGTCATGGGATGCAGCTGACAAGACTGAGGAATGTTATTAAGCTTATTTCAGTCATAGTCTCGTCAGCTGCACCTAGTACTCCCCCTCTCACGCACATTCATGCCCATATACACTGACCATTTATTATGTGTATCTGTTTAAGTGAAAATGGTTAAGATGAATAGTTTCTGTTCAGAATTTGGGATGAGGGATGTTAGTAAGCTTATTTCCCTCACAGTCTTGTCATCTGCACAAAATATTTTATCTTTTATTTTTGAATATAATAAAATTCTTTCAAAATTTCTGTTTATGTGGTTTATTTTCAAAACTATTATATTCTAATTGTTAAAGAGTAGGTGAAAGTGGGTGTTGTCATGCTTTTCAGTTGTTTTAATGACTGCAAACAATACATTGATGTTAAAATACTAAATGAAACACCTCAAATCTTTTGCACAAATATCCTATCTTCATTAGATTGTCATAGTTATGGAAATCAGATGTTTTAAAAGTAATTGGTGACTCTTAAAAGACATAAAAAGTACATCTGCAAAGAAATAGTAAACACATATCTCCGGCAATGTTTGGCCTCCGCTGTGGATTTGATGCTGCCCACAGCTTCTTCGTCTCCAGATGATGGTAAGGGCATCCTGGGTGTGTTCACGGTCCTCAAGACGTTATGCAGGACACAGGTAACCTTCAGATAACCGCCCGTTGACAGGGCTGATCCCTATGACCAAGCATTGCAAAAGAACTTAGCCACTTGACAAATACTGAAAAAGATGGTGAAATACAGGCACTGAAAATGTTACACTTTCCTTTTGTACTCAACTTTGATATCCTGAAATGTAAACAAACTAAGGCAAAGGTTTCCACATCATAGGTCAAAGTAGAACGTCAAGGCACACCAACTCATATAATTGTAACTCATTTAATTATTTTAATAATCATAGCCTATATTTTGCAAATAATTGACTACACACGTGTGTTTGTTTAGCAAACTAAGATATTACAGTAGGCTACCTTGGTTGAGTAAGTAAGTATGCTGAAATGTCTCAATCTGAGTTCATTGTTAATTGGTTTATTACAGGCCTATGTACCTTGATATGACATAGCATATGAAACCAGGTGCAATAAAAAAAAAGTTTGGAAACTGACTTGGAACCTCCCAGGAAGTCACCTTATTTAAGCTTATCCAACATCTGTGATGAGTGATGTGATCAAATATGATCTCCTCTGCTGAGTCAAAATAGCTACACTTCAGCTTGATGAACTGCCCGTTTCCAAATGCAATGTGAGAGTGCGTTGTGATGATAGAGAACCCAAATGCCAGTGCGCCACAGGTCAGGTCCTCCCAGGGTGCGAACTACGGGGGCGCTTAGCTCTTTATACAGTAAGACATGAGACGCTGTCTCCTCTATGAACCGTCTGGATTGTCACTGCGCTGCGTTTCTATAAACTATGAACCGGTTGTGGGTCACATCTCCCAGAGAGGCTGCTGTCGGTCAATTTAAACGTCATGTGCGCAAGTCACAACAAATATAGTGGGATATTTGAGCAGCAAAAAATACAAAGGCTGAAGTCATTAACTTGACATGACAGGGCAGAGGAAATTGCAGAGGAACTAGAATTCAACTTTTAGCTTCTGAAATAATTTCGATGCTCTGATGGCGCTCAGGACTGATCAGGAGGACGGCTGCTTTACTCCAAACAGTTTCTCTGGATGAACCTGGACTGTGTGTGAGAGGTTTTAACCGACGCAGTTGTCATTTTTACACCAAACGCCCATGTTGTTTAAATAGCAGATTGTGGTCCATGGGAGTGTTAAAATAAGATGTGGTCACTCAGGCAAATTGTTGGCGCATTCCTATTGTGAAGCAACGGAAAGCGACTGTACCATTGACCAAACAGCAAGTCAGCGGCGCAGTATTTCACTGTTTGTTTTTTGCTATTTTTTACTCCACTTTACGCACGAGGCACAGCAACAACTTAATATTAAAATCTCCCGAGAAGTGACAGGATCGGTCAGGATCTAATGTTAATTGATGTTCTGAGTTCTTCTCGCACACAGTCCAGTGAAACTGGAGTAAAGCAGCGTCCTCCCGATCGATCCTGAGCCCCCTCAGAGCGTCTCAATTATTTCAGAAGCTAAAAGTTGATTGCTCTGCCTTCTGGAGAGTTTCCTCTGTCCTGTTATGTCAAGTTTATAATTTTTTTGCTTCTTGAATGCCCCACGATATTTGTTGCGACTTTTTTGCGCACATGGAAACGTTTTAAATGACTGATAGCAGCCTCTCTGATCATGAAAGTAAATCATTAAACACTCCTTCCGCAACAAAACACAAAATAATTAAACCACTGCAGGGGAGAGATGTGACCCCCCGACCGGTTCATCATAGTTTCTAATAACGCAGCGCAGTGAGGATCCAGACGCTTCATAGAGGAGACAGCGTCTGTCTGTCTGGTCCCAGACTCCAGTCTGCTTCACTGATGAACACAGAGCTGCAGAGGAACATCTGGCTTCATGAGACAGTTTTTAGATCGCTGTTAATCTGCTGTTCAATCAGTCACTTGATGTTTTATACTGCGCCATTCATCTGCTATCATGATAGCAATGCGCCAAAGTGCAAGCGCACGCAAATCTGATTGGTTTGTTGCATGTTGCGCCCAAAACACGCCACGCACTTAGATCGTTCAAACTGGGCCCTGTGACTTCTTCCTCGCAGCGGAGGAGATATTTGATCACATTTTACAGTTGATGTTGGAACAGCTTCAATAACAGGAGCCTGGGAACTTGTTGATCGGACCTGGTTCCAAATCAAGGCGCACATCTCAGTAAACGGGTGTTACGACCCGTGAGGTCCGTGGGCTGTGTTTGCGTTGCTGTGGGTGTGTCTGTCTCTCTCTTGCAGGTGTGTACCTGTACCCGCTGAGTGTGACGTGGGGTGGAGCTCACAGCTGGGGCCAATTAGTGGGCCACATAAGCAGAGCCGGTGGAGCGCTCTCGAACCCGACGTCTCACTTCTCACTCATCCACTCACCCTTCCTTGGGCTCGCATTAGTCTGTGTGATCTACTGTGTGATCTACTTCGTGACTTGTAGGACGTGACCGGCGGGGTGCCGCTGGCAACTTCTCCTCGCGTCGTGAGGTCGGTGACTCCGTGGAGGCGGCATTCCCGCTCAGTGGAAGCCGTGTGGTGGGCGACGTGTGTGCTTCCCCAGCGCCGAGTCTGTGTGGCCTATTGTGTCGCATCCTGTGTTGTTTAGTTGTTGATACGTTGTTTGTTGATTAAAGCCTTTTTCTTTTGATTAAGAATAAATACATTAACTTGGCGCATGTTTTGAGTCATCCATGGTTTTTCCCACCCGGTTATTTATCTAACTGCAAATTTAGTGAAAGCAGAACTGAGCTTAATAATAAAATATGATATAATTATTTAGTCTTATTGGGTTGCATCTGCCATCAAGGCTTTTTATTTTTAAAAAAAAAATCACATCAGGTACCGGTATTGATGGGTAGAGGCTACTTGTGCTAAATGATAATCTATGGCTACAAAGGTGCAAAGCCCCTTTTTTTACTCAGAAATTTGTTCAAATGTCGGCAGTCTTGAGTATAAAACTAACTGGACCATCTCAGGTGTGATGAGTCTTTAAACACAGCAGGATGAACTCCAGTGGAGCTCCAGGTGATCACAGCTGAGGGAGGTGCAGGGCAGCACCTGCTGGTCATTTTCTGTAAATCCTTTTGGTGTGCTTGCTGTTGGTTCGATGCCATCGATCTTTATAATATTGAGAACACTTTACTGTTCACAGCATTTACTAATTATATTTTTGCATTAAAAAAATAATGCAAAAATATGATTACGCTCATTTTAATGAACAACTGTAACCAATCTAGCCTATGAACATCAGTGTGTGTGTGTGTCTGCGTGAGGCTCCAGCTGCTGACGGGCATCACTCGTGGTCCACTCCATCGTAGGATGAGTGGAAGTTCTTGGGCAAAACCTTCAGTTCTTGGGGCTGTTTGAACTTCATCTCTTTAACTGGCTGGCTGGATGTGCACAGTGGGGCTGCTGTGGTGATACTCTTCTTTTAAGACATGGGACAGATCTAGTGGATAGTTGGATGGAAGAATTTAAATAGATTACAAAGTATGTCTCCTCTTTAACTTAGGTAAATGTTCCAACAGCACACTGTAGAAATATTCTGTATGTCAAAATTCCTACATTCAAATGATGAAAAGTAAAGCTAATTCTGAATACTTTATATTTTGCTGTGTGACTTCATCTGTGAAAATACATCATACTCTAGTTTTTGATTATGTTTTTAATTTATAATCTGCAGAGTAACTAGTAACTAAAGCCGTCAAAATAAAGGTAGTGGAGTAGTACCTCAAAAAGAAGAGTAATTGGGCGCATGTACTTATATACTTTTCACAGCTGATTTCTATTGACATAGAAGGCAATATTTGTGCAAGAATGTATACGTCTGACAAAATACCTGATTGTTTGGAGGTCATGCAACGTTGGATCCCCGGCTTTTTCTCCAGTTCCCCATCTGGCTGAAGTCCTTGAAGATACGTAGCTCACACGGTATGGCCTGGAATTGGAGTGAGCGCCACCGAGGTCTTCTCACCTGCATCTTCTTTGTCCTTCCGCTTCACAGCCTTTGTGTCCCATGAAGCTGCTTTGATGTTTCCAGGCTTGAATGAACAGTAGGCATCGCACTGGTCTTTCTTTAAGTGAAAGGGAGATATATTTAAGTAACTGAAAATGTTTGAGCAAACTTACATTGACAGAGGCTGTTTGCAAGAAGGCTTATACTCAGTGTGCAGGTGACTGATGGACTTGAATACAAGCTACAGGTACACCTTTCGATGAAGAGGACCTACAGAAGTGCGACTGAACTTTCCAAAGGTCCAGAAGGAAGATCTTATGGAAGGCCTGCAGAAAGCACTGTGGCCTCACAGCAAGAAGGTCTCATATTCAAACCCGTCCTCCCAGACCTGTGTCTGTGTGGGTTTGCTCCAGTTTTCCACACCATCAAAAACATCTTAGATTAGGCTCTTGAGGTTATTTTTGATTAACAAAAATTTTGATTTGTTAAATGCAGAGAATAAATTTCACCATGTGTATGTGACAATAAAGTACCTTTTCCTTCCGTTCCTGTCCTCAGTCTTCTCATGACTTTCTCCTGTTCTTCCTGTCCCACTTCTAAAAACACCACTGCTTTATGCCTGATGTTGACAGGAACAAGTGTTGGCACACTCAGATTCTTCTCCAGTCTACTCCAAGGTGACAAATAATGGATGCGTACCTCCTGGATCCATCTGCTCCCCTCCACCAGAGACTTCACAATCATTTCTCCAGTCCAAATTCCCCCAGAAATACTTAGAAATCTTGTTCTTATTATGTGTCTTGTGCTTTTCTGCAGTAGAGTTTAGTGAACCTTTGGCAGGTTGCAGACTGGCATGGTGTCCCCATTTGTCTGGCCTCCTTCAATCCAGACCCCTCATTCTCCTACTTTTCTGGACGTTCACGTTCCAGGTCTCTGGATTTCCCGTCTTCCATGACCTTCCTGGATGAGCCTCATTGGTTGAAGAGTCCTCCTCAACTCCTTCTTGTGATTAAAAGAAAACAAAAACAGAAATTCTGTGAAAGACAAAAAATATCACTGCAGGACACAAAGGACAAAGCTCTGCACACCATCTCAACAACTCCTAATAAAACTGTATTGAAGGCAATGTTTTGATCTATGAGATCAGATCAAACCATTGCTTTAACAAAGAGTTATTATTTGGAGTCCAATGGTGTGCAGACATTTGTCCTGAATTATTTTAATGCCTACCTTCAGTTACATTGTTTTGGACGTTCTACCTGAGATCTGTTAAGTGACCACTGTTTGGCAGGTTCTTGTCACGTGCTGACCATAAAGAAAAGTTTAAAACCACAATAAACTATATGTTTTTTTCAACTTTCAATCAGAAGCAAAGGTCAGCTTTTAAAATTGATAATTATTATCATGATAATTACTGATGCTGAATGATATTAGACTTTTTTTTTGGCCCTAGCTGATTCTTTCTGAAGAAAAAAAACGAACCTAAAAGTCTTAAACATCTGTTTTTGATTGAGGAAACCAAATATAGATCTTTGAAGCACGGTGAACAGTCCTATCATATTTTACATTAAAGGGGCTATATGTAAGTTTTGGATTTTAATAAATCAAATATTCATTGTCAGTGGGCTCAAACCTCAGTTAGAAATGAAGCCCACGCCTGTTTTCTCCGTTGCTTCCATCAGACACTATTCTGCTTTAAATGTGAGGTCTCCGGGTCGGATTCAGCCCTGTTCGCGCTCCCGAGTCTCTCAGACTACACTGACAACACGGCAGCTAACGACATGCAGTCCGCTAACAGCATGAAACAACCGGCTCACAGTAAAACACGGGCTCCACGTAAGGATCCAAAACAGCAGTAAAGGTTTATGTGCTGAAGCCCATCAGACCAAACAGGTTCAGATGATGTCGAGTAAGAACAAAGTGAGCATTAGTAAAGCTGGAGAAACAGAGAAAGTCACGTTAGCTCACCGGCTAATGTTATCCGATGCAAAGTTGTATCGCTTTCCACATTATTTCACCAACTAACGCGACCCACGTTACCATCCTGTGTACCACTGGTATTATGTCAAATTGTCAAAGCCTGAAAGAAAGGATGTAACGGTAAAAAGCAAATGTGGAGCGATTTGTTTACTGTCCTATAGTGATGCAGCCAGCTGTCGCCACATTAGCTCGGACCTGCCACTGTTTGCTTCGTAACGTTCAATTTAGATTTATTTTTAATTTAGCCGTTTCGTTCCTCCTCTGCAACCTCTGTGTGTCCTGGGTGTAAACAAAGCGGCCTCGAAGTTGCTGCATAACGGTGACGTGGTTTACTAAAAATCTCTCAACTTCCATGATTAGAGAGAGTCTAGTTTAAATTACGTATAGACCAAAAATCACACACGAGACATAAAAAAGAAAGTTAAAGTTGGAAAAGAAGACGACGAACAACGGAGCAACTGCAACAGTGAAGACACCGGTCATATTATTACCGGACCGTTATTACCGGACCGTCTCCGCGAAGACACCGGTCAGATTATTACCGGACCGTCTCCGCGGAGACACCGGTCATATTATTACCGGACCGTTATTACCGGACCGTCTCCGCGAAGACACCGGTCAGATTATTACCGGACCGTCTCCGCGGAGACACCGGTCAGATTATTACCGGACCGTCTCCGCGGAGACACCGGTCAGATTATTACCGGACCGTTATTACCGGACCGTCTCCGCGACGACACCGGTCAGATTATTACCGGACCGTCTCTGCGGCGACACCGGTCAGATTATTACCGGACCGTTATTACCGGACCGTCTCCGCGACGACACCGGTCAGATTATTACCGGACCGTCTCCGCGGAGACACCGGTCAGATTATTACCGGACCGTCTCCGCGGAGACACCGGTCAGATTATTACCGGACCGTTATTACCGGACCGTCTCCGCGACGACACCGGTCAGATTATTACCGGACCGTCTCTGCGGCGACACCGGTCAGATTATTACCGGACCGTTATTACCGGACCGTCTCCGCGACGACACCGGTCAGATTATTACCGGACCGTCTCTGCGGAGACACCGGTCAGATTATTACCGGACCGTTATTACCGGACCGTCTCCGCGACGACACCGGTCAGATTATTACCGGACCGTCTCCGCGGAGACACCGGTCAGATTATTACCGGACCGTCTCCGCGGAGACACCGGTCAGATTATTACCGGACCGTTATTACCGGACCGTCTCCGCGACGACACCGGTCAGATTATTACCGGACCGTCTCTGCGGAGACACCGGTCAGATTATTACCGGACCGTTATTACCGAACCGTCTCCGCGACGACACCGGTCAGATTATTACCGGACCGTCTCCGCGGAGACACCGGTCAGATTATTACCGGACCGTCTCCGCGGAGACACCGGTCAGATTATTACCGGACCATTATTACCGGACCGTCTCCGCGACGACACCGGTCAGATTATTACCGGAGCGTTATTACCGGACCGTCTCCGCGACGACACCGGTCAGATTATTACCGGACCGTTATTACCGGACCGTCTCCGCGAAGACACCGGTCAGATTATTACCGGACCATCTCCGCGGAGACACCGGTCAGATTATTACCGGACCGTTATTACCGGACCATCTCCGCAGAGACACCGGTCAGATTATTTACCGGACCGTTATTACCGGACCGTCTCCGCAAAGACACCGGTCAGATTATTACCGGACCGTTATTACCGGACCGTCTCCGCGAAGACACCGGTCAGATTATTACCGGACCGTTATTACCGGACCATCTCCGCAAAGACACCGGTCAGATTATTACCGGACCGTTATTACCGGACCGTCTCCGCGAAGACACCGGTCAGATTATCAGCGGACTGTCTCCGCGGAGTCACCGGTCAGATTATTACTGGACCGTCGTTGCGAAGACACCGGTCAGATTATTACCGGACCGTTATTACCGGACCGTCTCCGCGAAGACACCGGTCAGATTATTACCGGACCATCTCCGCGGAGACACCGGTCAGATTATTACCGGACCGTTATTACCGGACCATCTCCGCGGAGACACCGGTCAGATTATTACCGGACCGTTATTACCGGACCATCTCCGCGAAGACACCGGTCAGATTATTACCGGACCATCTCCGCGGAGACACCGGTCAGATTATTACCGGACCGTTATTACCGGACCATCTCCGCGGAGACACCGGTCAGATTATTTACCGGACCATCTCCGCGAAGACACCGGTCAGATTATCAGCGGACTGTCTCCGCGGAGTCACCGGTCAGATTATTACCGGACCGTCGCCGCGAAGACACCGGTCAGATTATCAGCGGACCGTCTGACTTTAGACCCTGATTTACATTTCAAATAATTTCTTATTTAATCAAATACTTTCAGAACACATTAAGACTAAAAGCTAACATTCAAAAATTCCCTTTTAAAACAGGCTGACCTCCATTCAGAGCTGCAGCGCAGACACCACCACTCCAGCATGAGAACTACAGCGAGTTCCAATCAGAGCGATTAATCACAGTATGACAGAACCTCTGGCCCCAGAAACAGCTTCATTCATCAGCATGGGTTAGGGATTATCAGCATGAAGCTGAGGAATGCACATGGAAACATCTGCCACGTTCTTCTTTCTCTGCACACAGCTGTATGATTGTTCTCTATTCTTCTATTATTCTTATATAACTTGCATCGTTTATTCCATATTTATCTATTTCTGTCAGCTGTGTGTTTGTCTGCGCGTAGCACCTCGTCACCAGAGATAATTCCTCGTAGGTGTAAAACACTACTTGGCTCCTCCTCATTAGTTTGATTTAAAGGGCGATCACTGCAGGAAGTGTTTCAGAACCACCTGACAGCTGCTTCCTGTCCACAGAGTCAGAAAGGCTGAACCACAGAGCTCGATGAGCGACCATGTTTGGGTAACGAACGGATATCTAACCATTTCTTTACTTCTGCAAACGACCCGCATGCTTTAATGTCAACAGTAAGAACGAGGTCAGCAGCTTCAGGCTCTGCAGGAGGAAACTCACAACACGTTTCACTGCGCCTGCTTTGGAAGGTTTTACAGCCACCACCTACCTCTCTGCTGATTGGCTGCTGGTGGCGCTCAGTGTGGCGGAGGAGCAGGCTCTTACAGAGAGGGCCCCTTTCTCTGAGGGCCCTGTAGATCTGGGATCTGGTCTGAGGTGGAGGGTCCCGCAGCTGCTGGTATTTGTCACGTGATCATTTGTGATGATGTGAAGGTTTGAATCTTTGCGTCTGAAGAAACAATATTTAAATGGTGCACGAAGACCAAACATCACGTGTTCATCACGTGTGTAAAGTCTAAACCACTGAGGTTCATGTTTCAGGTGTGACTGTGGGAGACACCCCCTGTCACCACCGGAGGGGGGCAGCATCGCGTCTGCCGGCCTCCTCCTGCAGATCAGAAGAAGAAGAAGAGGAGGAGGAGGAAGAGGAGGAGTAGAGGCGCGGTGTGCGCGCAGACGCTCAGTTGAAGATGGCGGACACAGAAGGAGGTGAGTCCACGTTTCTCTGCAAACATCTGAACTTTTTACCTGGTTCTAGAGTGGACCTGGTTCTACAGTGCACCGGGTTTTAGTTCACCTGGTTCCGGCTTCAGTGCACCGCGTCTCGTACTGCTGGTTTTTAGTTCTCGTCGCGCGCAGTTCTTGATGTAAAGTCCGGTTTAAAGTTACCGAACTTTGTCCGGTTCCTCCGGTTCCGTGTGACCCTAGTTCTTAATGTGAACCCTGTGTGCGTTAGTTCGTCTCGGTTCGTGCACCCCCCCCCCCCCCCCCAGCGGTCTGCTGCTGGAGGACACGTGGGCTCTCTGGACCCGGAGCGGCCTGCTCGCGGCGCCCCGCAGGACACACGTGCGGCTCCGGTTCCGAGTTTCAGGCGAATCCCGAGTTTTAGAGAAGTGAAGTATCGATACATCTGATCGGTATCAGGCTCTCTCAGGAGGTCCAAGTGTCACGAGTCTGTTAATGTGGGACCGCGTGCTTCCTGGCGGCCTCGGCTAACCTGGACCACAGAGTCCGGTTCCTGCTAGTGATGACTGAATGGGATCCGTCTCCCGTATCGATCCCAGCTACTGGATCCAGAGAGACTTGTGGATGAAGGGTGGCCGGTCTGACCCGGCCTAGACCGGCCACCCTTCAGCTCTGTTAGCTCTGCATGTTAGCATGGTGCTAACACCCACGTGCTGTCGGAGAGGCCACGTGCTCCACTCACGTGACTAATCTGAAACTGATCAAAACTGCACTGATGACCTGGACTTAAAAGTATCTCACTGTAAAAGTACACTTAAAGTAAAAGTACTGCATGTTAAAGTACTTGTAGAAGTATAAATGCATCATGAGGTGAAGCAGGATTTTCATTAAATGGTGAGAAATGTTGTCGTGGTTACCCAGAGCTGCTTGTTCTGTGGGGGGGACTGGACCTGACTGCAGGTTTGATGACTGAATGTGTTTCCTCGTGTTTGCAGCATCAGTGAAGAAGAAGAAGAAGACGAAGGCGGTCAGCGAGGAGGAAGTGGGGGTGAGTCGGAGTTCACCTGGCTGAGCTTCAGGTGCGTTTGTTCAGACAGGTGACGCCGTGTGTTTGTGCAACAGGAGATCCAGCAGAGCGGAGACTTCTTCATCAAACCAGAGGCCAGAGCCGCCTCGCTGGACACGTCGCAGTGGCCCCTGTTACTGAAGGTGAGACTACGGCACCCTGAAGGGGACAAACATAAATAGCTGAAGTTTAGTCTTTAGCGTGTGAAGTGATGAACCAGTTTATCCATTCTCTGAGCGGCCATCTTGTCGCAGTCTCCGCCTCTGCCCCCGTTCTGGGGGCGGGGCCTCTCCACCGCGGTGCCGGCGCCGTCTCGGCGTTCTGCCGGCCGACGACCGAAACTGCAGAGAGAGTGACTCGACGCGAGCGCCTCCAAGACGACTTGCTGGACTGATCACACGGTGCTGAGACTTATAGCAGATTAGTTTAAAATACTAAACGTTTATAACTTTGGAACAACGAGTAGATAAAATATCAAACACGGGACGCATCAGTTTCAGAGCACCAAACTGACGGCGCTACCAAAATAAGAGCCTGGCTATGTGATTTCTGTCTTCATACAGGAAGTGAAATCTGATAACTTTCATTCTGTTTCCTGCAGAATTTTGATAAACTGAACATCCGGACGGCTCATTACACTCCTCTACCGAGCGGCAGCAACCCTCTGAAGAGGAACATCCAGGACTATGTCAGGTACCAGAGTGATGCTAAGCTAACATGCAAACAGCACTGTCAGGTAACCTTCAGCTAATGCTAAGCTAATAATGCTTGAACAGATGTTTTTTCTGCTTCCCGTCAGGACGGGGTTCATCAACCTGGATAAACCGGCGAACCCGTCGTCTCACGAGGTTGTGGCGTGGATCAGGAGGATCCTGCGGGTAGAGAAGACGGGTCACAGCGGGACGCTCGACCCGAAGGTCACCGGGTGTCTGATCGTCTGCGTGGATCGAGCCACGCGATTAGTCAAGTCCCAGCAAAGTGCCGGTACAGTGACCACTTCCTGTTTCTGTATGAATAAACGTCTCCTGCCGGCGTGCGAGCGTAAGGTTCTATAACGAACGTCTCCGCCCGGCCGGCCGGCATGTGAGCACAGTGAAACCCAGCAGCCCCCTCACTACTCTCTCTGTGTGTTGCAGGTAAAGAGTATGTGGGAATCGTTCGGCTGCACAATGCGATAGAGAGCCAACACGCGCTGGCTCGGGTAAGTCTGACCACTTCCTGCTGCTCGGCGCTCGCTGTCACGACTGATCACACGACTTTAATATTGATGAGATTTTCAAAATAAGAGTTCAGTGATGGTAATGCTACTGCTTCCCTTCAGAATAAAAAAACAAGTTTAAATCAGTGGTCAGATAAATCCTGATTGGATATTTTCTTGATTGGCTGGCTGTCATGTAACCCTCTCTGCAGGCCCTGGAGACGCTGACCGGCGCTCTGTTCCAGCGACCGCCCCTGATCGCCGCCGTCAAACGTCAGCTGAGAGTCCGAACGATCTACGAGAGCAAACTGATCGAATACGACCCCGAGAGGAGGCTGGGTAAGATCACTGATCGGCAGTCACGTATCAAACGACTATTGATTAGGGTCATCAGTGATGTCACAGTGATGTCAGAGGTCACGTGATTCTGTGTTGCAGGCATCTTCTGGGTGAGCTGTGAGGCGGGAACTTACATCCGGACTCTGTGTGTCCACCTGGGTTTGGTCCTGGGGGTCGGAGGTCAGATGCAGGAACTGAGGCGAGTCCGGTCTGGAGTCATGGGAGAGAAGGTCAGCATCACTTCCTGTTCACCTCAGATCCAGAGTGTTGAGTTCAGTCCTGCTGCTCGGTGCCGGTCTGCTAATTAGACTCTGGGACAGGAACGTGCAGCTGAGGCTCCGGACTGCAGGTCTGTGGAGACCGGAGCCTCGCCGCTGCTGACATCATCACCACATGCTCTGACATCATTGCACGCTCGCTGCTGACATCACCTCATGCTGTGATTGCCTGTTTCAGGACCACATGGTGACGATGCACGACGTGCTGGACGCTCAGTGGCAGTTGGATCACAACAAGGACGAGTCGTACCTGCGGCGAGTTATCTTCCCTCTGGAGAAGCTGCTGGTGTCTCACCGCCGCCTGGTGATGAAGGACAGCGCCGTGAGTCTTCCTCGCCTCAGCCTTCAGCTGGTCCTAATAAACTGGCCGCCGAGTCGCTAAACTCACCTGTTGTTGCATCACCAGGTGAACGCCATCTGTTACGGGGCCAAGATCATGCTGCCGGGCGTCCTCAGGTACGAAGACGGTATCGAGATGAACCAGGACATCGTCGTCATCACAACCAAGGGCGAGGCCATCTGTACAGGTGAGCCGGGGCGCAGAGACCCCGCCCCCCACAGGTGGAGCCACATGATGACCTGAGGTAGTCAGGAGCTCTCGGGCCGTGATGACTTCCTATCTATCACCCTTGTCTGATGGCTTCGCCGGACATCTGCAGATTAAAGGTGACTGGTTTGATGTAAAGATGATTGTTGACGAGGTTGTTGTTGTCCCGCAGCGGTCGCTCTGATGACCACGGCGGTGATCTCCACGTGTGACCACGGCATCGTGGCGAAGATCAAGAGGGTGATCATGGAGAGAGACACGTATCCTCGCAAGTGGGGTCTGGGTCCGAAGGTAGGCCGGAGTTATTGATCGTCCTCCTGTGCGCCGTTTCTTTAAATGTTGCCAGTACTGACGAGTCGTTTGTGATCAGGCGTGTCAGAAGAAGTTGATGATCCAGAAAGGACTCCTCGACAAACACGGGAAGCCCAACGGCAGCACGCCAAGCGACTGGAAGAGCCAGTATGTCGACTACAGGTACGCCTCACCTGAGGGGGGCGGGGTTAGTGGTGATTGACAGGTGCAGACAGTTATCCCTCGCCGAGCTGACGTGCTCTCTGAGGGAGTCGCTCTGCTACAGGAACTTTCAGGCTTGAGCTTCTTCACTCAGCTGTTTGCTGAGCTGCAGCTCACCTGAGAACAGTGATGTCATCGGGCTCGCCTGGGAGCGGCGATGTCGGCACTCTGTTGCGTGTTCAGATGAAACATCCTTTAAAATCTTGTTTCTTTTCATTGACAGCGTCTCCAAGGTGACGGAGGAGTCATGTGATGCTTCAGCTAAGGTAAACTCAGCTGGTCAGAGGACCAATGAGAAGCGTTTCTTCCCCAGGAGCCTCAGATGGGCTCGATGTGAAAATAAAGCTGACATAAATATTGACAGAGGCTCCTGATTGGATGAATCAGTGAACCTTCAGGGCTGCTGACAGTTTAATTTACGCCTAATGTTTAAATTGGTACTCGTCAGAGGTGGCCCCTCCCACACCTGAGAGGGCGGCGAGCCGTGGTTCACGTTAACAGTTAGCAACGGAAGCTAATTTTGGCGAGCTGCCGACTCGTCTGTCTCAGTCCAAAGTGT